GACTAATAATGACTGTATAAGACCCAAAGATATTCATATGCAGATTTGGGGGATAATCTCATGGTATTCAATGTCTGAAAAAGTAAATGGGAAATTAGTACCTTGTAGGATTTGGAAGCTTATTGGCAAACTAGTGTATGTGGAAGCAGTGTGGAGAAATAAAGGATTTAGTCTGATTTCAAGTGCAATCAAACGGTATCCAGATAAAATTCACTTCCCAGTGCCATGTACTCAAAGACACAAAGTAGTTTACATTGGCCATGTCTACATGAGATGTTTACTGCAGAGCTGCTTAATAAGCTCTGCAGTAAAGTCTCAGTGTCTATACATGCAGCCCTATAAGGCCACAGTAAACTAATAAACACTGCCATAGGATAGTATTTATAAACACAAGTACTATTCTATGGCAACATTATTTAGTGTGCTGCAACACATGTGGGGCTGGCTGGGGCATGAAGGTACTTCAGTGTAGGAGCTGCCAGCCAGCTAGCCTCACGCTGGAGCAACCTCATGCCTCGGCCAGCCACTCCACAGCATGGTGAGCCAGGTCAGAGCAGCCCTGGGCCAGTAGGCTGACCCCTGGGGCCCTCAGGCAGCTGGGACTACTCTGGGTTGGCTCACTATGCTGTGGTTCCAGGCACAAGTGTGAATGGGGTGGCTGGGAACAATAAACTCTGATGCAAACTGCACTGGAGTTTATTGTGTCACAGGAATTGCATGTGTAGATGTTCCCATTGAGCCTTAACAAATATTAGAATCCGGATCTAGCTAATTCATCATATAAATTTATAAGAACCATTTTGTAGACTGAGGGTATCTATAACTAGCTTTCCTCCCTAGTGATTTCAATTAAGGGTACAAGCAGTTTAGCTCCACCAGTAGTAGCATAGTCTATTTTACAACTCTATAGAAAAACAAAGCAGGTGCCATTGTACAAAGGATACTACTTAATCTCTAACACCTTGCATGCTTGTATAAGACATTGATCCAAAAAACAGCTATATCAGAAACAATATGGAAAAACAGCTATACTGGAAACATAATTTTAAAACTACACAGAAAACAAATCAGTCCTATGAAACCCTGACTCTGCTCCCAGTAAAGAGATTGGGAATTTTTCCATTTATTTTAATTGAAACTGAATCTGATCCATGATAACACAACAGAGGATAAGCATGCTTCACTTGTAGACATCACTTAGGACTCAGGCTCAGACTCAAAGATAAAATGTATACTCCAGACAGGATTCCTAGGGATAATGGCCGGCCTGTATATGGGAGCCCCAGAACTGCAGTGAATGTTATAAGTCAGAACTAAGGCACATAAGAAGAATGAAAGAAGGGACCAGAAAATTGAATGCAATGGGTCAAGAGAGAGGAATTCTGCCAGAACATTGAGGGTGGGCAGGATGTCTCTATAGAGGTATCTATCTATCCATTTGAGAGTTGACTTGGGCCAAAGCAATTAGTTTCTCCCTTCCATGAACACTGAATTCTCACATAAGGTTTTCTAAGAAAACAAATGTATTTTTAAAATTACACTATATATAAAGTTCAAACAGGAGCAGGAAGATCATTAAACAAAACAGAGTAGGCTATGAAATGGCTCCTTTTTAAACTGCTATGGTAACTTCAGCCTGCTATAACACACACTATAATAATTACCCAGTGTTATTTTAGCAGCAATACTTTCAAAATATTATGTAAAGGGAGAACATAAAATAAATGCACAGGACAAAAGATGCATTTACATCTTGACTAATCTTGCACTTTTGAAAGTAATTAAAGAAAAACCAACAGCAGTTAGTAAAAGTTAACAACTCTGAGGACTTTTGGAAGGAATTCAAGAAAATACTCACTTATAAATGGCTTTCCGTTACAGATGATATGAAACTGCCTAATTCTCTAGCTGTCTGTCTGGACATTCTGAGATTAAATTAGGGGTGTGCCATTGCTCTTACCTGCTTTAAAGAAACATGGTAACAAAACCCTATGGCACTAGAAAGCCATTTTTAATAACACTAAGAGAAAGCGCTCCCTCCATTTTACAAATGGGGAATTTGGGCGTAGAGAATTTAAATGCCTGGTCCAAGGCTGCACTATGAATTGCTGTCACAGATGAGATGAACACTCTGGGTCTCATTGCTCCTAATCCTATGCTCATTTTCCTTTAGTATCTGATGGAGATCACTCTGGAACAGCCTGCCATCGGAGGTGGTTCAAGCACCTACATTGAACACCTTCAAGAGCAAATTGGATGCTTATCTTGCTGGGATCCTATGACCCCAGCTGACTTCCTGCCCTTTGGGTGGGGGGCTGGATTTGATGATCTTCCGAGGTCCCTTCCAGCCCTAATGTCTATGAAATCTATGAAAATAAACTCAGAATAGGGCTGCATGTTGTACAGATCCCTTGGGCTTCCCCTCTACATGGCTAGGGACAGACATTCAAAAAGCCTGAGCCTGAACTGATTCAACCTTTGCAGGTTAGTCTAACCTGCCTAGGCTGAACTGGTTTCCAACCATTCAGACAATCGCTCTGGATTGAGGAATATCAGGCACATGCCTGCAGTGGCTCAGGCTGGAAGCCGGGGGGGGGGCATGAGAGCAGCCCTCCCTACTCTTCCACAGAGCTAGACTGAGGGGGGTGCGGCCAGGCCCCAGCAGAGCTCTGATTAGGGCGGGGTGTGAACTCCCACCCTGCCTGCAGTCTCAAGCTTTTTCCCGCTCCCTGCTCAAGGGGCAGGGGTGTTGCCAGCCTGCAGCCCCGGCCTAGCACTCTGAGGCAAGGAGGGGATGTACACTGCATGCATCTGTTGATGATACAGAACTTACTCTCTCTCCCCGTTTCTGTATACTGTCTGTAGCAAACTGACAGACAAGCAAGCTGTGGGGGGAGCTGATAACAGTGTTTATCACCCTTATCTCAGTGTTTATTGCCCCATTAAGAGAACAGAGACATTACCAGCTATCTGTTTATTCAGCACAGACCCACCATGTGGTCTTCTGGCTAATACAAAGACACCTCAGCAAAGGCAGAGGGAAAGGGGGAATTTGTGCTTAACAGAGTGGTGAGGGGGAGGGAGGGGAGCAAACAGCTCTTCTCAAATGTTTCCAAAGAAGGACATTAAGCTACCTGTTGATTAGCTCCAAAAAACTGTCTGCCTTTATCTCTCTCACAGCATGGACTGTAGCCAGCATGTGGTCTGCTACCTAATCCGGAAATGTTTGCTAAAGCAGAGGGATGGGGTGGGGGATAATCCCTGTTTAACAGGGAGAAGCCAGGCAGACACAGAGGGGAGGGGCTAGCCCTGCTGTGGAGCAGAGAGCCCCACACAGCCCAGAGAACATGCTGGGGTGCTGGGGGTGTCTGCTTTATCTTAAACTAGCAAGGGGTCTGGGACAGACATTGCATAAATCGGTTTGAGCCAAATCAGTTAACTCTGATACTACATTCAACCAGGTTTATCTCAAACCATTTTCAGCCATTTTCAAACTGGTTTATGTGCACTGAACATCTGTTCTGTTACAGGTTTAAACCAGTTTCCAATCATTTAACTGGTTTATGTGTAATGTCTGTTCCTAGCCCACAGGCTGCAGGCTCCCCAGGCTCTGCAGGCTGTGCTGTTCCACCCTCTGGGACAGGAGTGGGAAGCAGAAGTTGAAGGAGGAAGCTAAAGTCTGGAGGTCCTAGCTGCAGCAGAAGTAATGTGGGGAAATTACTGCTCAAGAGCCACTGGTGGACAGTCTAGACTTTGAATGTAAATAGCTCTCTCAGAAAACATACATTACAATAATATCTTCCATTTATTCTAAGCTTTGCATTACATTACTTTCTGTGGAAAGAGAATTTTTTTTTATGTCAGGAACCAAAATTCCCAAGAGGACCCTCTTTCTAATTAATATTTCTTGGGACTCAATAATGACCAGTCAGGTTCCCAAATTGAAGCAATTTGAAAGCAACATCAGAAAATAACCTCAGTTTCTCCATGGAACTTTTTATTCCCTGTCCCTGCGCCTACTTGATGGAAGCAGTGTAAGTCTGATTGACTATATCACTAGACATTGCACTAGGACTAGACATTGTACTGAAGAATACATTGGATGAAGCAATCCTGCAATGGCGGAGGTGGTGAAGGTGGATTAGATGGACACAGAGATCTTTTCTATTCCTAGTTTCTTGGAAGGTTAACCACAGCTCCATCTTGTGGTTCGTTTCCTCACCTCCAAGCAGCATGTGAAAGGCCTGGGGTGCTTGGAGATGACAGCTCTATTCACTACTTAGAAAATGTATTGTCTAGAAACACTGTTATTAAACAGGCATCTTCATTAAACAAAAAAAGAACTGTGGAATGGCAGTTGAGGGCTGGGGAAAGTAGGGCCTTGATATGTTACCTGCAACATTATGAACTGTATTCCAAATGAAGGAAGCTCTGTTATGGAAGCAGTGTGGCTTACAGTAACAGTGGTCAAGGACTTGGGAAACACTGGTTCTGTTCATGGGTCATCTTAGGAAAATCAGCATACCCAAAGGAAGGATTTTATTGTTGAAATAGGAAAATGACTATATAAACAAAGCAGGTATTTAAATATTTCCTCTAACTATATAAAAGAAAAGTGCAGGGGAAAAGGAGAAGAGGGACTGACTATACATCCCAAATGTGAAAAGCTGAAAAGCAGAAAGAAAGGAGCAGGAAAAAGAGTGTATACAAAAGATGAACTGTGCGGGACACAGCATCCAGAGAATCTTGCTTGCAAAAGGAAAAAAAAAAAAAAAAAACAGGAAAAAAAAATGAAGTGAGGAAATGAAAAAAATTAATGTAAGGAAAAAATGAATAACCATAAAATGGAGGTTGGAAAAGAATACAGCTGAAAAGTGGTGTCAGTGATAGAAGAAATACAGAAGAAGAAATTAAAGGTTTAGCACAAAAAGGGGGGAAATAATTTGTAAGTTATTCTGTATTTTACTTGGGGAAATAAGCTTGATTTTCACTGTACTTACATATGAGTGACTTTACTTAAACTGTAGAAGGAATGAGCCTCCAACCTGTGAAGTGTTGCATCTATGGAGATATAGCTAAACATCAGAAAAACAGAAAGAGAAACAAGTCATATGGCTGTGCAGGTGTTATGCCGTAACAACTAAAGCTCATTGTCTTTTTCTTTATTGTTTCTTCCCTTTTGCTCAGCTCCCAAGTTTTTTATTCCCCCTTGTTTTGTTTATTTTTACTTGTAATCTATACTGTATTGCTGCAGTATCTTGCACGATGAGTCCCTAAGCCTGTCTGGGTCTCTCACTTGCATATGAAACAAAACCTAAGAGTAGAGGTAAAGCAGAGAGATACTAAAAATATCAGGAAAGTAGCAAGAGTTAACAATGATGAGGGCACTAAATTTTACTTCAGCTTTCAGTCCCTCATTCACACACAGCAGATCTCAGAGGATAAGAAAAGAATCCTCTTGAGAGTTCTGGCACACACTTAAACCAAGCACTTTTTGCAGGTCTGGCAGAAAAACAAGTAAGAAGGGAAAAAAGACAGTTTATTGACTGTGCCTGTAATAAATCCTCTACACATGGAAAGCCAGATTGTAAAGGCAGTCCCTTTCAGAGCAGTATGGAGAGTAAATAACTTCCTTGTATAAATTTAAAGAGAAATGCTTTGGTTTCCATTTTTTGTGCCCAATAACGTGATAAAAGAAAATGAGGTCTGGCAGCAGAGTACCAAACCAGGAACACAAATTCCTGAATTTTGTTCTTATTTCTGCAGCTGCAAGACCTAGGCCCTAGGCAGACATTGCACTTAAGACATGATTAAATGGTTAATCATGTTTTAACATGTAAATTGGCCACATGTTCAGGGGATTAATGGCCCAATGAAACAGGAAACCAACTACAAAGTTATTACACAACACATGTGGAATAACTTTGTAAATGGTTTCTATTGCACCTGAAATTGAACCATGGGGCAGGGGCCACCTCAGGGCTTGAGCCCAGGAGCAGTCCCAACTGACTGACCATCAGCTGACAGGCCACCTGATGTCAGATTGGGAGGTCCCCAGGGCTGGAGCCCTGGGGCTGTCCCTGCCAACCGACAATCAGATGACTGGGACCTCTCCAGGACCGAACCCTTGATTGTTGTCTGGCAAGGATCAGCCAGGGCTCAAGCTCTGAGGCAGTCCCTGCTAGGTGATGGCAAATTAGGATGGCCCTGGAGTTCAAACCCCCATGGCTGTCCCAGTCAGCTGACTGCCGACTGGCAGGGGTACCCCGGGCTCGAATACCTGGGATACAAGCCCTGGGTCTGTTCCACTCTGCAATCAGCTGGCAGGGACAGCCCCAGGCTTCTAACCTCAAGGCTGTCCTCATCAGCTGATGGCAGACTGGAACACCCCTGGGGCATCCCTGCCGATCAACTGCAGATTGGGACTGTGCTGGGGCTTAAGCCTGGAGGACAGTCCTGATCCTGCTAACAATCCACAGATTGCCCGCTGGCTCTGGAGACCACAGAGGGATTCCAGCTGGCCCTGTGGGTTCCCAGAGCCAGCCAGTGTTGGGGAAGCCCAGGATCACAATCTAAGTCTCACCCTGCACTGGCAATATATTGCAATTTGGATCTGATCCCCAATCCAACAATTGCTCCTCCTGCCAAAAGGCATAATTGTTGGGACTGATCAGATCCCATTATGCCTTCAAGTGAACATCTGTCAGGGGCCTTAGACAAATAACTTTCTTTGCTTGTCTCCATCTCACCCCCTGCAAGGCTCTAACTACTTTGTACATGTATGAATAAAACTGCAACATAAGAATTAGGCAGACAAGGTTAGTTGAGTCAATCTGATATCTTTTATTAGACCAACTCAAATAGTTGGAAAAATTCTTCTTTGCAAGATTTCAGGTATAAATACCCTACATCAGGCTGAGGAAGCACCTGCAGTTGGTCTGTGGTCTTCCTGAATGGAATGAATAGTAAAGAAGCCAGAGGCTGGTATGCGTGCAAAAAAGCCAGTCAGTGACAATGTAAATTGTGGGGTCAATGGATGAAAGACAGTGAAAGACAGGTTGGGGGTGGGGAGGGGAATTAACGTAGCTGGTAAATAGTGGAGAGGTACCTGGGAAGTCAGATGTTAGGCAGGTTATGATGTGTCATAAATCCATGTAGGAGAAACCAAACAACATAAATCTATGTAGGCGAAATCAAAAAACAACTGCGTACCAGAATGAATGCACACCGAAAAGCTATCAAAGACAAAAATACCCAATTACCCCAGGTGCACACTTCTCACAAGACAACCACTCTCTCTCCAATCTCTCAGTTCTAATCCTCAAAGGGAATTTACAAAACATTTTTCATAGGTGAGCCTATGAACTTCACTTCATAAATCTACTGGATACAAAAAACCACTAAACATAGACATTGGATTTATGGCACATTATAACCTGCCTGTCATCTGATAACCCCAGGTAAGCTGTCTGCATTTGACCAGCTACATTCTATCACCAGTTCAACACTCCCCCTTTCCCCCCCTCACCTACCTGTCTCACACTTATTGTCTCCCATTCCCTCTGATCCTCACTGCCACGCATCTGTATTTTTACAGACCTGCATTTTGCATTTTGGCTTCTGTTCCACCCAGGAGAGTGCATAAAACACCAGCAGACTCCCCCTATGCCTGAAGAACAGTGTTTGTGCCCAAAAACTTGCAAAGAACAGTTTTTCCAACTATTATGTTGGTCTAATAAAAGATATCACATCTAATCAAAGAACCTTGTTTGCCTATGTCCTTAGACCAACACAACTACAACCAACAACCCTAGATTATTATAGGACATTTAATCTGGGGTGGGAAAAGTAATAGCCATAATATCCACAATACACAGCTATTTCTCTGGAGAAGCTAATACTGTTATATAACTAGCACGTTCGGTTGAATGTTGGCTAGTAAGCCTTTAAGCAATGAGTGCCAGATCCTGCCTAGGCTGAGGATTATTTAGGGAGTTTGGAGGCCAAGTATGTGTGTATAACTATACTTTTTTGTGATTTCTTAGTTGGTCTAATAAAAGGTATTGTCTCTGAATCAAGAGTTCTAGAGGTTTGTATTTCAAGTTATACAAATGACTTACGATACATCTTAGTATCCTCCTGATGCTTGTGTAGGCTAGTTTCCAGTGTGCTCAGATGGAACAAGCTGAAAGGGTCTTTAAGGCCCATGGCAGATATTTCATTTTAAGAGCAATTATTTTAATTGACTAATACACTGTAACATGCCACACCTTCAAGCAATTTAAGCCTAATAACAATAAACAAAAATGGTGAGGAAGACAAAGATGTTACTTGTTAAATGTAGAATATCTTTGCAGGTCATTTGTATTGTGCTTTAATTTGAACATGTGGCATGTTACACATAGGCTGATGCAAAAATCTAGAACTCCTGGTTCAGAAATGATACCTTTTATTAGACCAACTGAGAAATTGCAAAAAAAAAAAAAATCTTTTTGTGCAGAAAAAGATATTTTTTTTGCAATTTTTTTTTGCAATTTCTCAGTTGGTCTAATAAAAGGTATCATTACTGAACCAAGAGTTCTAGATTTTTTCATTTCTTTTGTCTCAGACCAACATGGCTACCAAATACATCCCTGAAACATAGAATAATAATGTTTGGCTACATCCTCCAGCATTCCAGGGTGGACTGTTCTCTTCCCCCCTACTCCTTCCTGCAAGTGGACTATCTGATTTACCTCTTCCCTGTGCTAGGCACAGCGAATGATGTGTTGGGTAGAGGAAAAACCCATACACAAAAGCACTTCATAAGGTGCTTGGGAGAGTTTGATCCCTGTTGCTCCTGCTCTCCCTGACCCTTAGCCCTAGAAAAGCTCTGTGCAAGGGTCAGAAGAGCAGGTCCTTCACCCAGGGGGAGCTCAAGTAGTGAGGTCAGAGCTCACTTTTCATTAGCTGCATAGCCCTTGCCAGCAGCTCTCTAGTTCCTCTTGCTGGTGAATGTTGACAGAACAAGTACCCGCGGTGCTTTTTACTCTCAGGATAGCTTGTCCTGTGAATTTAAAGCAAGTCACACATAGCAACAGTTTCTATATCAATCAGTATGGCCTGTAGTCTGATGGCAATAACACCTGTCAGGGGCTAAATTATAACATGCCATGTGTGCAAGCAATTTATCGTGGGATAAAATGTCAAACCAATCACAAAGATGTTTCACATGTTTGTGCCTGTTGTGTATACTGTTTTAAACTGAATGCATGGCATATGTCCCTCCCCGACTGTATTATATTAAGGTCTCCCAGGGGCCTAATTTGCACAGATTGCAAATAGGTCCAGGAAGCTGGAAAACAGCTCAAAGTAATAGCAAGAAGGATGGTTATGATGGGTGGAACTACCTTTTAATAGCAAGCTGTAAATGTAAACAATGCCATAAACTCATGCATTTACTATTATTACTGTATATACTTGAATCTAAGATGAAATTATTTTCCCCATTCAACATGGGAAAAACAACAAGCTGGGGATTGGGGTTGGAGTTAGAGCCTCAGCCCCTGTCCCCCTCCTCCCCCTCCCACCACCTGTACACTACTTTCTGCTCCTCCTGGTCTGTGCTTCAGGCACTACTTAAATTCCCTTTCCAGCTCCAGCTTCAGCTGAGACCCCCCGACCAGCTAGGGGCAGGAAGCACAGAGTATGTGTTGCCTCTGACCCCAGCCTGGTGATACAGCAGCAGTGGCAGCTCTCATCCTGGCTCCAGGCCATGGCGGGTGCAGGCACTAGGGTGGAGGGAGGGGCAGCAGCAAGAGAGGAGGTCCAGCTATTTAACTCCTCTGCTTCCTTCTCCCTTTGCTGCTGCTTGCCCTGCTGCAGTGGTTGGGGGGATGAATTTAAGAAACTATTCAAAAATGATATCTAGACATGGAAAATTATAACAAATTTATAAATTTGCCATGTCTAGAGTCTAATTATTGGGTGGGGGTCGTCGTAAATTCAGAGTCATCTTGGATTCAGGCAAAGATGACAATTGGTAATGGCTGATATGTTTAACCACAAGCAGTGCAGGTTAAAAGTCATAGAAAGCCTTGACTACAACTCTTTCACTATAAATTGCGGTCTAATGAGGGTACAGATTTGTGTTTTATGGACTCTTTAATGTGCAAATAAAGAGTACAGTTCTCACCCTTAATTACTAATACAGCAGTCTTATGTAACTACAGCTTTTGCAATTTGATAGGTTGAGAGGCTGTTACACATGAGGAGAGTTTTGGGGTGCTGTAAAGAAATTATGACTCTTTTGATCATTTTAGTAAAATGTAAATAATCTAAAACTTACATTCTGGAGATATTGGGGAGATCAGAAAATGCTTCACTTGGAATTGTTCTTAGATGAGTCTCCATAAGTCTCCTACAGAAAAAGTTTGTCAGTTAATATTCTTCAATAAGAATTGCAGTTTAACATAAATTCAACCTGAGTGTACATAGGGGGTAGAGATGTGAAGAAAAGCTGTTGTTATCTGAATGTAGTTACTTGGAGAAATGACAACAATTTTTAAAAGACCTTTCAAATGCAGACGAAAGGTGTGGCATTCAGTTTGGTTAAACACTTTTACACCAGGTGTATGCTTTTTCTTTGCTCAGTGTTTGAAAAAACAAACAAACCAAGAGCCTGAAGTTAAGACAAGCAGTATAAAAACCATGTTATTGTGTAGGGGTAAATTACAAGTCTCTTTTGTTAAAAAAGGTTTCTTGGCAGGATTAAACCTACATGAGGAGAGTGTACTGAATATCTGGCAGACCATAAAGCACCATCAAGATGTTTTATTCTTGCATTTTACAGTAAAGAGTTCTCAGAAAAATCTAATCAAATTAGAATTAAAAACAAAAGACTACAAAGAAAAAGCCTTCTCTTCCTTCTTGGCTTTCTGTTTACAAGATTTCAGTTTTCCACAGTATGAAACTAAACTTTTATTTGCCTATTGTACTATATGCAACATGGAGTAGATTCCATAAGTTTCTCCAACAATGTGTGTGTGTGTGTGTGTGTGTGTGTGTGTGTGTGTGTGGACAGAGAGAATAAGCAATTTAAATCATTAATAGAGCCTATAGCTAGCAGCATAGGGAAACATATTTGACTTCTTCCAGCACTGGAACACAAGGTGACAAAGCCAGCACCAATGGAAGAGTTTTTCTGAAGTAAGACATTCTATTAAATTTACACTTGCAAAATACTAGTGTAAATGGGGCATTTCCAAATGCACTGGGGAATACATGTGTGTTCCCCAGTGCATTTGGAAATGCCCCATTTACACTAGTAACAACTTCAAATATACAACTTCAAATATAATTTAGAACATAGCTCGTACAA